TCTCCCTATACCTTTGGATTGTCATTCAGTCTGCCGCTTTGCTCAACAAACTGTGCATGTGCTTGATTGTGTGATTCCTAAGTAATGAGCAATGAATTGTGTACCGTTCCTCCTCCTCCTCTCCATCATTTATGCAGGGCTTGTCCTCCGTGCTTGGTAGGCCTATGTGTAGAAGCAGGCCACAGGGAGACTGCACTAGAGAGTACTGCACAGGCCTTCAGAAGGGCGGCAGAATGGATTTGGGGTTGAGTGCTGGGTAATGTACTTCAGGATGGTCATAGGTCTCTGAGGAGGAGACTTCTGAGCAGAGACATGAAGGCAGTGGCCTCCATTACAAAGTAACAGGCCTGGAATGTTCCCTTCTCTTATTTTGCCTGGAGGAGGAGAAGAAGCCAGCCATGGCAGTATAAAGGGAGGAGCATTCCAGATGGAGGGAACAGTTTTGAGTAAGCAAGGTCCTTTTGGACCATTCCTGCAACCTCTGCCTCTATCTTATGCCATGTCCCTCCCCGCCCCCCGCCCCACACACACATATAGAGTGACTCTCTATGGGATCAGATCAGTAAATTGACTTAAATGGGATTATTATTTTTTTATTTTTATTTTTTGGCATAACTGAGGGGCCATGGGGCTCCTTGACCCAGAGAGCTGGTGGTGGTGGTGGTGGGTGCACACCAGATGGCCTTGCTCAGGGCAGGGCTTTGCTTCACCTGCATGTGAAGGTGGCATGGCAGAGAAAGCTCTGACTTGGGAACCCAGAGTTTGGCTGCTGGTCCTATTTGTTCTGCCATCCACGCCGTGTGGCCCTTGGTGGCTCTCTCTCTTTTCCCAGTTATTCATCTGTGCAGTGAGGGGGATCTGCTTAAGATCCTTCAAAATACCGAACCCACTAGCTTTTAACATTTACCCCAAACACCAAACAGAAGCAGCAGCTCCTATCTGTATTCTTCTGAACTTGCTATTTGAATTTTGTAGTCCTTTAATTCTCTCTCTCACACAACCCCCCCAGTGATCTGATCTGAAACAACTTTTGTTTCCTCACCGCCACTGCCCCAGCCCTAAGTTTTACCGTGCTGCAAATAAAATATTGCCCTCTTAATGCATCTATTCATTTATCAACTATTCATTTCTTCCTCCATTGGTTTACATGTTTTGATCCGTTTCCATTGGCTTGCTGGAGGGTTTGGTTTAATTGGTCTCATTGCCATAAGGGTACAGTTCCTGGAATGAAGGTGTCTTCTATAAGGGGTCTCCTTGAAAAATTAAAAGACAGAAACGTGAAAGTGCTCGTGCTCTCATTGCTGCTTCCATGATTTGTGTGAGGGACAGACTAGGGCTTTTCTCTCCATGACCAGGGCGGTAGGGGCCACTCAAAGCCCCATGTTCTGTTTCTCTATCAAACATTGCTGTTTCCCCCCCTCAGCCCTGTACTCTTTCCGTCCCAAGGATGACTCACAACCTCTCTTAGACCAAACTGTTTTCATTTTAAAGTATATTTGCTCTTATAGTGCAATGGCAGGTCGTATTTCTGGTGACAGTGCCAGTTAGCTGATGGATGGGAGGTGGGGGGCAGGGGCCACTAAGTGATACAGCAGACAGGTTTGCCCCCTCCCCAGCAAGCTTGGAGGGGGGGTTGCTGAGTGCAGCCCGACCACCCTTCTCATGCCTGCTGGGCATCCTCCTCCTTGACTCCATGGGTTAACTGGCTGCTTGTGTCCCTAGCCTCTGCAGGCTTTTCAGCATCTGAATCACCCCGCCCCCCCCATTTCCCTGTATCCAGCCTTCCAGAAGGAATCTCCTGTCCCTGAAACATATCCCCTCCAGTAAGAGTGCTTACTCAGAGAATTTGGCTCTAAGTGGTGTCATTTGAACTCCTTGGTGGCGTGGGCCAGTAAGGCAGAGTCAGCACCCCTGTAATCCTCGCAGGACTCCGGGATGAAAAGCCACACCGCAGACCTGCCCTTTGTGGACAGCACAGATTCTTCTGGCCTCTTTAAAAAAGATACTGGTTTGTCTTGTTCTTCAGTTCCTATTGTCATCTGAGCTTCACAAATAACTTAATCACTCGGAAGCTTCGCTGCTTCCCCTGAGGGATAATTTATTTTGCTGCCACTTTTTAATCTGTTATTGCCTTATTTCTCAAAGTCTCACTGGGAAAGTCATGAGGCACAGAGTACCTTTTATTTGAACAGTGGTAGGAGCAGTTTATCTTTGAGGTTCCGAAATTATAAACTGTCTTACGGTGTTTCTCTCTGTCATCTGGGCTTCGTCTGTGTTTACTTGTTTGTTTTTCATTACGGCTGCAGAGTCTTCTCATCATGTGTGGCATTTGTTTTCCCGGACTCTGAAAACTCAGTGAACACTAACATCCTGTTCGCAGACAGGCAGTATTTCTATAAACTTCCTGCAATACTCAAGAGTGTGAATTGTGTCCATTCCAATGAAGATGTATACATTATGTAATTGCCAATTAAAAAAACTTCTCCGTAGAACAAAAAATAGAACAATTTTTCTAAGTATGACACAACATTTCTTTTGTTTTAAAACAGACAAAAGGTTGATGGGAAAGAGAAGCCTGGTTGGGAAAGGAGGGTAGTTCTGCTAGAGTCAGTCCACGTGGGGGCTTGTTGGCATGTTTTTCGTTGCTCCGAGGCAGTGCTGCTCAAGGTGTGCCTGCCACCAGGTGCCAGTGAATCGGGTGCAGAAATCAAGTGTGAGCCTGTAGAAACGGAAAGCAGTTTGACTAAATGATTTTGTGTCTCATAATAAATCCGGGCTTGCATTTTTGCCTGCTTTATGTCTCCCCCCGCCCCAGTTTAATTTTCTGATGCTGTTAAAAATATATCCTTTTGCAACAGATAGAAAATTTAAAGGAGAGAAAATAACCAAATCTAGAACTGCCCCTCATCTCAGATGGTTTGAGAAGCACTGCTCTACAGTTGTCTGTGGAGCCCCTGCCACCCTTTTTCTGATCTCTCAGTGCCCCCAGGGAAGGTGCCCTCTCTGGGCTTAGCTGCTTCCTCAGCCCATGCTTCTGGTCTGTCATGTCTTATATACAGATGGGCAGTTGGTTGCAGAAACGCTCTCTGTTCCCCTTGACATGGTGATAGTGACATTGCCTTATTCCCTTAATTATAACATAACTCGGGAATTTCTGTTAAACTTGATTCTCTTTCTCTTGATACCTTGTTCATGGGATTATTTCAGGTTGGTTATTCCTAGGTTCTAGATTGCTTTTTGATGATGTACGATGTGTGTAGATGTTTTAAGGACTGAAGATTGCCCAGTAAGTAGTTGCAGTAGTCATGCTTTCTCCCCTTTGATCAAATGTCAGTTTGTATTGGGAATATGATCCAGACAGTAGTGTTTTTGGTGGGTCATAAGGAAAGCAAGAAGTAGGTACTGATTAGGATATGAGGAAAGTTAAAGGAGAGGTAAGTTGAATCAAAGAAACAGTTTTACTAATTAAGCGAGGTAAAAAATAGATATACTGCATTAATATTTTGATACTGCGTATTTTGGGGGAAATAGTGGGAGGTTTATGAGGTGAAATTTTAGGTATTTTCACAAAATGGACAACTGTGAGAGAAAGCATGTGTATATTTTGCTGTAGCAGTTTGATAAATAGTAGCATGTTATTTTAAAATGTTAATGGTATTTGGGCCATCAGAGTTTAAGATACTATGCTTACGATTTATATAATCTATTTCCAACAGTAAGTCTTCAAGGAGAGACTTATCAGTGCTTTCTTTTGATTTATTATTTAATTTTATTAATTGTTTTGAGTGGGCTGGCATTTCCAATCACACTCAGGTTTTGGGATTCTAACCAGGTCTGTTTCAAGCCTTAAACCATGGGGCTGCTTCCTGGTTCTTTTTGCTGTTTTCCTGTCTTCAAATAATACTTCTCAGACATCTGAATGAGCGGGTCTAGATGGACAGAGTAAAGTAGCACACAAACGAGTGCCTGTCCTCAGAGGTGTTTACTGCTTCAGCGTGAGTTGAGATCCTTCAGTTAGAGGAAGAGCTAGTATTAGGCAGTTTATGATAGATGTCAGGTTTAGTTATTCATGTAGTAAAAATATGTTACTGTTTCGTGTAGATAAAGGAAAATTCGCTGTTGGCTACAGTGTTAGGAAAGAAGGAAAGCTTTGAAAGAAAGTTTTCTAGGATTCGAATTGATCTTAAGGAATGTCAGACAAGATTTTTCAGATGCAACGTATCTAGTTAAGGAAATGTGAGTTGTACTCTGGTAGATACCAAATGAACAAGTTAAGGGAGTTAATGTAAGATTATAATGGGCAAGAGGCCTGAAGGGTAGATTAAGGACACCCTCCACCCCGCCTTTTTTTGTGGAAATCTCTAGAGAGTTTGGACTCAACCCTGTTGGCAGAGGGTAACCCATAATTTGGGGTTGGGTAGACTACAAAGACCTTTTTTCTTATTATTTTTTTTTCCTGTATTACAAGCTGCAATTATTGGGGTGAACTTTTATGGCCGAATTCAGAAGAGATTAGAGGTGGAGACATTTCTTCATCTGGAGTAGAAACGTGGGACGGTGGTGGCTGATGGGGTAAAGGTGGACTAGGGTGCAAGGACACAGTAAGGGGGGAATCGTGTTTGTGCCTCTTTCAGAGGAAAGTAGGGGATGCTGTGTAAATGCAGCAAGATAACCTGGTTTTCCTTCTTTACTGCGGGCTGAAATAAAAGTACAAGCGCCATTAATCCTGTGCCATCAAACACTGTGTGCAGTTTTTATTGGACACACGTTTAGTTTGTACACAGGCCTGCGCTTGTACACACACACACACTCACGGCACATATTTTATATCCATGTATAAAACATAGCCCTGTAACCAACTTTTTTGCACTTTAAAGCAGGCCTGTGGCTTAAGAGAGTATGAGAGATTTCCCTTATGTGTCATGATTTTATTGCTGCACGTAGGTCTATATCCTCTGGTCTCTGCTTAATTTATTTTTAATTTTCCTTTGCTTTTACAGGCCCAGGCTGCAAGCACAAAGGAAGTTTGCTCAATCTCAGCCGAATAGTCCCAGCACAACTCCAGTTAAGATAGCGGAGCCTTTGCTACCCCCTCCAGCTACTCAGATTTCGGACCTCTCAAAAAGGAAGCCCAAGACAGAAGATTTTCTTACATTTCTCTGCCTTCGAGGTAAGAAATTACCAGTCCTTTTGCAAGGATCGAGCTAGCTGAAAGAGAAAGGAATAAAACTGCATGCAGAGCAGACGTTAGCATTGCTCTCCGCCAATTTCATCTTTCAGTCCCCAGGCTTGTTTGAAGGAGAATTGAAAGTGAGAAATCCTACCTAGAGGGTGCATTCTCGGTGTGGTTTTTGAACCATATGTTTGTTGAGTCTTCATAGTTCTGTTTTCACTTAACTCTTATATCCTCCTTCTTGGCTTCTCATTGCACAATTGCAGCTTGTAATTTTTATAATTTTTCTCCCCACCACCCCTTTAAACCCTCCTACCGCCTTCCAACACACACTGTGGACTTTCTTTTTTGTTAGGTAACTTTTCTTGGCGGGGGAGTTGTGGATGGGGATGAAAGCACCTTTTCTACTGCTTCCTAAGGCCTGTCAGTAGTGACAGCCCACGGTGACCAGGGGATCCCTGTTCTCCCAGCCGCGTGCCACATTAAGAAAAACAGTAGTAGAACAGTGAAAATATTGGTCTTGTCTGTGAATAGGACCAGTTAACAGAGGCCAGGTGACGATTCGGGATTTGAATAGACTATTCGCTAAGTTGTTTATTATAGGAACTAAGTTTTCTAACAGCTGTCAGGAACAAACCAAACAGATTGTCAGAGGGAATGAGGAGGGTGTTCTGGAGGAAACAATGGTTGGAGAGGAGAATTGGGAAGTCATGAACACAGAGAGCTCCTTGGTGAGGTTAGTTGAGAACAAATGAAAAGGGGAGGGTCTTTGCTATTGGACATCTGTGTGAGAGGCTTAGGGTTACTTTATTTTGTATTAAACATTTTGAAATAAGTTAAAGAAAGATTTAAGAACCTTACAAATAACTTTTTTCTGACCTGTTTGAGAGTAACTTTCCAGCCGTCACCCCTCACTGAACACATTACTGTGTATTTCCTTCAAATAAAGACATCCTCCTTATATATCCTTCCCTGCTAGGAAGTCCATGATGCACGCCTGTTCTTTTCAGTGCTGTGGAATATCCTGGTTTAGAGTAGAAGGATCCCATTCAGAATTAAAGACGATGCTTTTAATTGTCTGTAGTCTGCTTAGCCTAGAACAATTCCTTAGTCTTGGTCTTTGATGACACTGACAGTTGAAGATTTTAGGTCAGTTATTCTATAGAATGTCCCTTGATTTGGGTTGCCTGGTGTGTTCTCCTGATTGCATTCAGGTCTGCAATTTTGGCATGAAGACCACAGAAGTTATTCTTGTTCTTGTTGTGCCCTCTTGGTAGTGCATAATTTTGTCTGCTCCTTTACAGATGGTGTTATATCCAATGTATTTTGGGGGGAGTTTCTTTGAAGCTATGTACATATTTCATTTCTCATCAAACTATTTTTTGTATCTATTTGGACTCATTTTCTGTTTTATTCAAGGGGTTTGCAATCTGGTCCTATCATTATTTATTTCAGTGTTCACATTGCCCCAGACCATATCTGCGAAGCACCTTCGGGTTGGCTTTTTTGTTCTTTTGACACGTCCCTGTCATCTTTCCAGCCTTGTTCCTAGCACAGCAAAACGTACCAGGCTCATCTTGTAGTGTCCTGCCCTCAGCCCTGGAATTGGCCCTTTCTCCAAGGTGCCTGGGTTTCCTGTGTTGTTTAGAAGCCAGCATCTGGGCGTTAGTTTCTTGGAAGCTATTGGAGTGTCATTTTCCCTAGGTGCTGTCTGCGGACTGAGGTTATGTGTTGCATGTTCGTTGACTATACCTAGATGTATCTCTAGATCTCTGTGCATATTAAAATCCATTGAGTTACCATGGAGTTACCAATTTCAATTTAACACCAAAGGGTTCATCTCACTTTCTTCCTTTCTGCATTCAACCCTGAGAAACTTTGCTGCTGTTACCCTTAATATATTTATTTGCTCAGTCTTTTGAGTGTAACCCACCCCCCCATTGTCTCTTCTGTCCCACTGCTCCACTGGAACACTTCTCATCTCACTTGGCTGTGGACGTCCTGCATGGCTACTCCTCACTGTCTCCCTTCCCTTTTTGCCCTGCCTTACCTATGGGCTTTGGGACTTAATTGTTAGGGGAAGAGAAAACAAAGAACTGAGGCTTACATTTGACATTGTAGGCTATGTTGATAGCCTTTGGCGACTCCTAAGACATAACAAAGGAAAGTGGTTATATTCTTGTTACAAATTTTGTAGCAGTTGTGCATCACTGGGCCTTGAAAAAAGGGAGAATGAGGTAGATGGGCCTCCCACCAATTTATCTCCGTTAGTATTTACATTGCGCTTTGGTTAAAGATTCTCATGATCCTCCATGTTGAATGTGAAGATGGAAAGGAAGGTGTGAGGATGAAATATGACATAATCTGGTGCCGGATTGGCCGTGAAGGGAGGAGGGAAAAAACGACCCGTAGGCTGCAAGGCTGGTAGGGTGCTGCGTGATATCTCAGGAAGGGAGAATGAGTGGGACCAGGGGCTCAGAGGAAGGCATTTGAGCTAATGGAGTCTTTGAAAGGTCAATAGTATCATCAGCAGCAAGATGGGTTCAAGTAAACAATAAAATTTCTGTGGTAATGGGGCTTTTATTTTGTGACTTTGTTCAAGCATGGCTGCTTAAGGCAATTGGAGCTAGATTTTTTTTTTTTTAAAATGGTACCTGTGACTTAACTATTTTGGTTACGTTTCTTTAGGAAAGGGATTGTTTTTTCTATGGGTAGATATGAAGTCTTCCTCTATTGCCCAGGGTGGAGCACAATGGCATCATCATAGCTCACTGCAGCCTCAAGCTTCTGGGCTCAAGGGGCCCCCCTCCCGCCTCAGACTCCCACATTACTAGGATTGTAGGGGTGAACCACCACACCTGACCAGGAAAGAGATTTTGATGTCTGGAATTGCTGTGGGCAGTTTGCTTAACATAAATCATGAAATAATGGTCTATGACTCCAGAAGATCCACCAATCCTGTTCCATTAGAATGTCTGAAAATTGTTGTTGATCATAGAATTTAGTTATGCAGGTCTTTACTGTGGCGTGGTTGTGACTATTGTTTGTAAGTCTCAAAGGTAGGGAAGGAGAGAAACATATCAGGGAGTGTCTCAGCCATTGCATGTAGAGAGGGATGTGTTTGTTTGTGCCACAGGTACTTGTTATATGCATTACCGCTTGACATATTTTTTGTGGTTCTGGGGAATTTGGAGAGGATCTTACTTGGAGAGGTGTGCTTTTTGCCCAAATAAATGGCATCTAGAGAAATTACCAAGTAAATGCCCAGTTTTGAAGTTTTAAGATTCTAGACAGAAGAGAACCTTTTCACAGACACAATTTACCTCTTTGAGATGTCAAATGCAACAAAGATTGAAATATGTGAAACGTAGATGTTTAAAATAATTTTGTAGAAGTGCTTTGAGCCTTGGAAATTTATTCCCCCATTTAGGAGCCAGGCAATAAAATAGGTTTTGTTATTTGTTTTTAGCTGGTATACAGTAAGGACTCTTATTGGACTCTTTCACTATTTTTCCTATACTTTTTAAATTTGTGGTATTAAAAATGAGTCATCTGAGCTTTAAAATGTCTTTTTTTCATAAGGACAGGTGTGTTTACCTGGTTCTGGCTCTGCAAGCTCCAAATGACAGATGAATTCTGTGATACCTTTGTGACCTTGGACGTCTGATTCATTTGGTGGCGTTAGATGGCATATTTTAATATGTAACAGCTTGCACTAATTAAAACTTGTATTTCAAAGTGTACAAGGGTTAAATACATGATCCCTGGTGTTGTGGTACTGTAATAATTTTCTTTGAATTTTAAATTAAGAAAAAATAAGGTGTTAACTTTTTTTTTTTGAGACAGAGTCTTGCTCTGTTGCCTGGGCTGGAGTGCTGTAGTGTCAGCCCAGCTCACAGCAACCTCAAACTCCTGGGCTCAAGTGATCCTTCTGCCTCAGCCTCCCGAGTAGCTGGGACTACAGGCATGTGCCACCATGCCTGGCTAATTTGTGTATATATAGTTTTAGTTGTCCAGATCATTTCTTTCTGTTTTTTAGTAGAGACAGGGGTCTCGCCCTTGCTCAGGCTGGTCTTGAACTCCTGACCTTGAGCGATCCACCCGCCTTGGCCTCCCAGAGTGCTAGGATTACAGAGACAACCACTCCATCTCTCAGAGACAACCACTAGGTAACTGCCGCCTGTGTGAATATCTTACTAAGCCTTCTGTGTGCATATATAATACATACTGTCCCCGAAATTCTGAAATGGTTTGCATTATGCATTTTTGTAGTCCGGTTTTCCTACTTAATAGTATCACATAAATGCCTGCCTGTCATATCGTTTTAATAGTTTAACCATGTTCCATTTTGTGGATATTTCATAATTTTTCTTATTCCTGATTTATATTTAGATATATTTCTAACTTTTTGATATCTGCTGCTGATGACGTGTATCCAGAGTTAAATCTTTGCCTCATCTGAAGCCTTTTCAGGCAAAGTTGACAGGTGGGGATCCGATTAACATTCTTATACCTGCATTCTAATACCTTTTTTTTTGGGGGGGGAGCTGATTCCAAACCAAACATAGCTTGTCAGAGCCCCAAACCCTATCGTTCACCATAGAGAGCTCAGTCAGTCCATCACCCTTGGGTGACAGCGGCCCTGTTAGGGGTTAAGGAGACAGTCTTTAATAAGCTCATTATTTATAGGAAAGAAAGTCTGGCTGCAGAAATAATGAAGGAATCGAATTCAGAGACCTGGAAGTGATGTTTGTTGCCAAGAATTACAGGTCATTTTTTTTCTCCCATCCCCAATTATTACCTTTAATAGTCTCGAGCTGATTTGGAATATGGAAGAGGATAAATCGTGAGGCTGAGGGAAAGACAGCAAGTGGATTTCTTTAAACCTTGTTGTTCGTTATCCGTTAATATCTCTTGGGCAAGAGAGCCCAAGACCATGCCTTCTCCCCAAAACTCCTTTAAGTATCCTCAACAAAAACCTGGGCCGGCGGTGGGGA